CCAAATCTAAATCTTGTAAATGGAATTTTAATATTCCATTTTCTCATCGCTGAGAATAAATAAGCATGTTCATATGCTATATAAGCTACTTGTATATCAAATACAACCATTATAATTTTAGGAATTAATAAATTTTTTTCTTCATATATTGGTTTTTTTACCTCTTCTTTTAATTCGAAAAATTTTAAATCATCTGCAATGTGATCTAATATTTTTTTTAAAGTTTCAAGAAGTGAATCTAATTTTTCTTGTTTTTCAGCAAGTTCAATTATATACATCCTAATATCATTTTGTAATTTATTTATCCTTCTTTCCCTATCAGCATTACCAGGATAAAAAAAAGGTTCAAACAATCCATATGTAACTATCTCAGAGTTATCTTCTAAACTCTTTACAGGCTTATCTTCTGCCATTTTAACGAGATAAATAAGACAATCAACTTATTTATATAGATTTTGAAAATAATATAAATACTCGTTATTCAAATATTTTAACTTAAAAATGACAGAAGATAAGCCTGTAAAGAGTTTAGAAGATAACCCTGAGATAGTTACATATGGAATATTTGATGATACTCTCTTCCCTGATAATAAAAATAGATTGAAAAGAGCAAATGAATTACAAAATGATATCAAACTTTTTGTGATCGAACTTGTTAATAAAAAAGAAAAATTAGATTCACTTCTTGAAACTTTAAAAAAAAAATTAGATCATATATCTGAAAAACTCAATATTCCTAAAATTCAATATATTGAAAAAGAAGTTTATGAAGATTCTTTTTTTTGGTTTCCTAGAACAATAGAATTTGTTTTAGATTTTATAACATTTCGAAAAGCTTATCATCATGCATTTAAATTTTGGAGTTTAAAAATACAACCTACATTTAACATTCCCAATCCAGATATTCCTTCTCGAAGTTTTTCTATCCCACGCAGACCTGTTACCAATCCAGAAATTTCTCCTTTACAAAAATTATGGTTTAAATTCAAGTGGAATCCGAAAGTTTTTTCTGTTGTAGTAAGCGGTTTTGTTACTGTATTTGCAACTGTCGGTATCGATTTAATAATTAGTTCATATACCGGCGCCCAAAGAAGAAAAGAAATGCAAAATTTTATTAAAGAATGTCGAGAACCACGTATCGAATTATACCACGATATGATGGTTTTAGATTTGATCATAGAACAAATTAATGGATTCATAACTGCAATAGATATAATAGAATATAAAAACCTTTCACAGAACGAATTACAAGGAATGTTTAAAATTTTTCAAAATAAATGTAATAAGAAAATTCACGAGATTGATTACAATAAAGCAGATAAAGTATTAAAAGAAAAAGATGAACAAAGAGGTTCATGGGTAAATGAAGGATAAATAATATTTACTCGTTTTAATTTAAATTGATTTTATTTATTTTTATAATATTAAAATATCATCATACAAATGAAAATATATTTAAATTTGAAAAACTGATTTTAAATTAAACTAATAATTTAAGAAAAATAAAATATAATTTATTCTTTTATTTCTCCAATTCCAATTCAATTTCAACTTTTAAATATGATCTTTAAAATTATCATTTGTTTTCTAATTTAGAATTTTCTTCAATAATTTTAATTAATTCACTTGCTTTTTCATTACCTAATTTAATAGCAGATCTTAAATATGCTTTTCCTAAATCTATATTCTTTTTAATTCCAAGTTTACCATGACAAAAAATATCACCCAGGTAATAGTAAGCTTCAGAATTTTCTTGATCAGCTGCTATATGAAAATAGCGAAGAATATCTCATTTATTTTTATTTTTTGTTTCTTCATCATCGTTTTTCTTTAAATTACGCAATATATGTACCGCATGTTGAGCTGCGGAATCGGGATGTGATCTATCAGCGGCATCATTATACAATTCAATACTTCTTTTTTGATCTTTTTCTTTTTCATCATCATCGGTATATTCAATACCGTAACCATGTTCTAAATAATATGCTGCCCAATAAATAAAATTTTCTGATTCTGATAATTTATCGACACCTGAATCTAAACATCGAAGTATGAAATCTCTCTGTTCCTTCTCGACCTTTTTTCTTTCATTTTCTGGTAAATTTTTCCTATCTTTATGGGTTTTAATAAATGAATTGTTAAATTCATCAAGGAGTTATTCTGCTTCAGTTTCGATTCCTTTAATATTTTGATTCATCTTTATTAATTTTATTTATTCAACTTACTGTTCATATTTATATTTTTTAATTAGTAATTTTTCAATAAATAATTTATAATTACCAATTTTTATAGATTTTTGATTAGTTTGGCCTTAACAAACTATTATCTATCTTTGAAGATGGATTTTATTTTAAATGAAATACATAATTAAAACTTTATATAAAATAGTCCTGAAATTACTTTAAAAAGCAATTATGTTTAGTAATTAAGATTCCAAAATTAAATGTATAAATACTATAATATTTGGTAAATTATTTTTTAATAAACATGAGCAACCAAAACTATTTGCAATTAAAACTCCCCAATGAAATTCTTGTCAACATCTTTAAAAATATAAAATTTCTTTTAAATCCTATGTTGACTTGTAAAAGATTATATTT